CAGCATTTGCTTGTCTGTAAAGGATTTTATTTCCCTTTCAGTTATGAAACTTAGTTTGGCTGGATATGAAATTCTGGGTTGAAAATTCTTTTCTTTAAGAATGTTGAATATTGGTCCCCACTCTCTTCTGGCTTCTAGAGTTTCTGCTGAGAGATCTGCTGTTAGTCTGATGGGCTTCCCTTTGTGTGTAACCCGACCTTTCTCTCTGGCTACCCTTAATGTTTTTTCCTTCATTTCAACTTTGGTGAATCTGACAATTATGTGTCTTGGAGTTGCTCTTCTCAAGGAGTATCTTTGTGGTGTTCTCTGTATTTCCTGAATTTGAATGTTGACCTGTCTTGCTAGGTTGAGGAAGTTCCCCTGGATAATATCCTGAAGAATGTTTTCCAACTTGGTTCCATTCTCCTCATCACTTTCAGGTATACCAATCGGACGTAAATTTGGTCTCTTCACTTAGTCCTATATTTCTTGGAGGCTTTGTTCATTTCTTTTTACTCTTTTTCCTCTGAACTTCTCTTCTTGCTTCATTTCATTCACTTGATCTTCAATCACTGATACTCTTTCTTCCACTTGATCGAATCAGCTACTGAAGCTTGTGCATTTGTCATATAGTTCTCATGCCATGCTTTTTAGCTCCATCAGGTCATTTAGGGTCTTCTCTACACTGTTTATAGCCATCTGTCTAATCTTTTCTCCAGGTTTTTTGCTTCTTTGCAATGGGTTCGAACATCCTACTTTAGCTCAGAGAAGTTTGTTATTACTGATCTTCTGAAGCCTTCCTCTCTCAACTTGTCAAAGTCATTCTCCATCCAGCTTTGTTCCGTTGCTGACGAGGAGCTGCATTCCTCTGGAGGAGAAGAGGTGCTTTGATTTTTAGAATTTTCAGCTCCTCTGCTCTGGTTTCTCGCCATCTTTGTGGTTTTATCTACCTTTGGTCTTTGATGACGATGATGTACAGATGAGGTTTTGGTGTGGATGTCCTTTCTGTTTGTTAGTTTTCCTTCTAACAGTCAGGACCCTCAGCTGCAGGTCTGTTGGAGTTTGCTGGAGGTCCACTCCAGACCCCATTTTCCTAGGTATCACCAGCAGAGGCTGCAGAAGAGCAAATATTGCAGAACTGTAAGTGTTGCTGCCTGATGCTTCCTCTGGAAGCTTTGTCTCAGAGGGGCATCTGGCTGTATGAAGTGTCAGTTGGCCCCTACTTGGAGGTGTCTCCCAGTTAGGCTACTCGGGGGTCAGGGACCCACTTGAGGAGGCAGTCTGTCCATTCTCAGATCTCAAACTCCGTGTTGGGAGAACCACTACTCTCTTCAAAGCTGTCAGACAGGGACGTTTAAGTCTGCAGAAATTTCTGCTGCCTTTTGTTCAGATATGCCCTACCCTGAGAAGTGGAGTCTACGGAGGCAGGCAGGCCTCCTTGAGCTGCGGTGGGCTCTACCCAGTTTGAACTTCCCAGCCGCTTTGTTTATCTACTCAAGCCTCAACAATGGTGGACACCCCTCCCCCAGCCTTGCTACCGCCTTGCAGTTCAATCTCAGATTGCTGTGCTCGCAGTGAACGAGGCTCTGTGGGCATGGGACCATCCAAGCTAGGCACAGGATATAATCTCCTGGTGTGCTGTTTGCTAAGACCATTGGAAATGCGCATATTAGGGTGGAGGTATCCCGATTTTCCAGGTACCATCTGTCATGGCTTCCCTTGGCAAGGAAAGGGAATTCCCGGACCCCTTGCGCTTCCCAGGTGAGACAATGCCCCGCCCTGCTTCAGCTCACACTCCGTGGGCTGCACCCACTGTCTGACAAGCCCCAGTGAGATGAAGCCGGTACCTCAGTTGGAAATGCAGAAATCACCTGTCTGCGTTGCTCACACCGGGAGCTGTAGATTGGAGCTGTTCCTATTTGGCCATCTTGGCACCCCCAGCTAGCAAGCATTTTCTATAAAGGGCCAGATAGTAAATATTTTATGTTTTGTTGGTCATACGGTCTCTGTTACAACTGTCATTACTCTTTCTACTACTCACCTCTGTCATTGTAGCCCAGAAGTAGTCATAAGTGTGCTGTATTCCAATGAAACTTTATTTACAAAAACAGGCATTGGGTAGTTTGCCCTGCAGGCTGTACTTTGCTAACTTCTTATGGAGAATCTTTCAAAATTATAACTGCCTTCTGTTGAGCATCTACACATGTTATGTAATGTTATAGGCACATTGGATTGTTTTTTAGCTAATTCTTATGACAAAGAGGAAGCCAAGGCTCAGGAGACTTTAAAGTTGCAGAGTCATTCCTAGAACATAGATTTATCTCCACAGTGATGTTATACTTATTCTTACTCTGAAGTAGAATGCTCTACAAGTTTAAGAACTTTGCTTTCTATATTCTAAAAGAACTTGGTTATAAAGTTGAGCTACCTTGATCTTTCTGAAATCGTTTCATTTCAGATAGTGGCCAAAGAAAACTGACAATTTAAATTGGGGGCAACTGACTAATGGCCTCCAGGCCACCAGAATTTCCCTCAGCTGTTTGCACTGTTGAGATAACAGACATCCTTGAAACCTGCCATAGTACAGCAGTTGACTTGAAGGTCTCTCTTCTTTGACTTTTTTGAGGGGCTATGTTGGTCACTCTAGATAAGATCTTGGAAGAAACCTTAGCGGCATTCTAAGCTTCTGTTTCCAAAATTCAGGACCAGAGGCCAGCAGTACCTCAGGTCTTTGGAAAGGATAGTGGGCAAAGATAAAGATCTTTGATGCTAAAAAGTTAATGAACAAGTTGTCCAGTTTAGCTGTCATCCTATCTTCACCACCTTAGTTCTCCTGGCCTGGAAACAAACTTGATTTATGTAGAGATTACATTCAACTCTGCCTTACATGAACAAGATGATGGATTTCTGTAATCACAATATTTTATGTTATCTCTAAAGTTTTCAAAGGTGAAGAAATATTAGGTTTAGTAAAAATGTAAGAAAGTGAATATTAGGAGCATATAGTTAATAAATGGTCTAGTATTTATTTTAGAAGTTTAAAACACATTTTCCTATTGGGTTTTTGGAGTAAAGTAAGATGATCTACATTGTTGCTGTATCCAGGCCTTTATAGTTGTAAGAAATGTTTGGAGGCTTAGTTGAGAGAAAAAGAATATATTTGAAAAAATGCATTTATCTTTCCTCATGAAAGTTGGTAGTGCTGAAACTGCAAACCTAGGACTGGGAAGGCTGTTGAAATTAGGGAAAACATCAGTGACGTGGCATGTCAGTGTGTGTACTAAAGTGCTTCAGAAAAACAGAACCAGTAAGATGTAGATATCTTCAGAGACAGAGTAAGTGAGTGAGAGATTTACTATAAAAAACTGGCTTACTTGATTGTGGAGTCTGAGAAAGCCAGACCAGGGAGAGCTCAGTGTATAGTTCCAACTGGAGTCTGAAGGCCTGAGAACCAAGAAAGCCAATAGTGTAAGTTCCAGTCTGTGTACAAGTCTGAAGGCAGGAGAAACCAGTGTCCTAGTTTGAAAATAGGTAGAGAGAAAGAATTCCTTCTTACTCAATCTTTTTATTCTATTCAGGCCTTCAATGGGTTTGCCCGATGCCCATCCACATTGGAGAGACCAATCTGCTTTACTCTACTGATTCAAAAGTAATCTCATCTAGAAATATCCTTGGAGACATACCCAGAAACAATGTTTAATCAAGTATCTGGGTCCCCATGGCCCAGTCAAGTTGATACATAAAATTAACTTTCTGTTTGTGTGTGTGTGTGTCTCTGTGTGTGTGTGTGTGTGTGTGAGAGAGAGAGAGAGAAGGTCCTATGGTCACAGCTCTAGAAAATCATTATCCGTGTGTGTGTGTGTGTGTGTGAGAGAGAGAGAGAGAGAAAGAGAGGATTGAGGGGGAGAGAGAGAGAATGTGGGTAGAGATAAGAAAAACTCCACAGCCTAACCCCTCCTTCTCCTCGTTTTTAAAAAGATTTTAATTCCCTTTTTTATTTTCCAAAGACTTATCTAATTATTTATCTATTTATAATGAATAATTACTGATTGGGTATCTGTTATGTGCTAGGCATGATGCTACCACTGGGGATAAAATAATGAGTTAGACACATTGTCTTCAAGGAGGTTACTGTCTATTAGGGGAGATAAGCAAATATATCATTTAAATACTGTGTACTAAATGCTGAAACATGAGCAAGTATTAAATGCTAAGAGAATTCATAGGAAAGACATCTAATGCTACTTTGAGAGTCAGGAAAGGCTTCCTGGAGGAGATAAAATTTAAGTTAAGTAATGAAGAAGAGGGGCTTAATCAGACAAAAAACCAGGAAAATATGTTCAAGGCAGAGGAAACAACATGAATGAGAGACGAGGATGGAGGCTTGGTCTAAACTTTCCGCATTCCATCTACATGATTCAACTGAGTTCAGCATTTTTTAACATCAGGCATTTTAAAAGAAAAGCCTTTATATTGGGTGCCATGAACTAAAAGGAAAAGATGTGGCCTTAAATAGTGCATTCAAAAATCTAATAACAAGAAAGTAATATTGCTTACAGATGGCACATTCTCTTCATCAGAATAAATGTGGCTGGCAGTGAGTAAAGTGATAATGGTCCTTCGTGGCTATGTTGGGTCAATTTTTGGTTACCAGTTCTAACAGAGGAAGTCATTGAGTTTAGTCGGATTCAAATCTTTTTTCCCTGCTTTACTGAGGTATAATTGATGAATAAAAATTGTATATATTTAAGATATAGAACATGCTTTGATATATGTTTACATTGTGGAATGATTATTACAATCAAGGTAGTTTACATATTCATTACCTTACATAGTAACCGTCAAATCTTTATATGAATAAGGAAGAAAGGAACTCTGGCAGTTCCACTAGGGTTCAGCTCTCTTAAAGTGCTCCTTCTAGGCCATAGCACCCAGTTTATCCTTTGCTCCCAAGTCTTTTATGTTAGAAGTGGGACTAATCTCTTGTTTTCTCCTTCTCTTCCACCCTCTTTCCCCCTCAGGTGAAACAGTCACAAATGGAATATCAAGAAACATGCTATGTAAGTCCTGGTTTTGAAATACTTTGTCATCCTAAGAAGCTTGGACTTTATCCTGAGGTCAAAGAAATGAAAAATCAGATCATTCCAGCTGCAGTATGGAGAATAGAGTGAAGTGGGGTAACACTGGTGTAGTGGCACAAATTAAGCATATACGTAAGAGAGGATAATGACCTGAACTAGGGTTAAAGTAGTGGGAATGGAGATAAATAGATAGTTTGAGAGAAATTAAGAGGATAGAATGACTAGGACTTGGCAATTGACTGGATATGGGGGGCCTGGTGAATGAGAGTCAGGAGTCAAGATTGATGGTCAGGTTTCTGACTTGGGCAGTGGGTACATAGTGATGCTTGTATAAAGATTGAGAAAGTAAAAAGGAAAGTGAGTGTCAAGCAGTTTCAAGCAGCAGTCAGCTGCTAGGCTGGCTCATCACACTTCTGTAGATTCCGTTGAGAAGGAAGCAATGAGCCTAGATAGATTTAGACAGTTTATTACTCAAAGCAAAAAGGCAGCATGATCTTCATGCTTTTATGAATTCCCCAAGTCCCATGATACAGAGTGAGGCCCAGATAGATGCTGTATACACAGTGGACCTGTGTCCTCCCAATCTTATAAGAGGCTACTTGCAAACTTGCCCAAAATCATTATCCTGGAGGATGACACTATCTTTGTTATGCTGGCCAGGAAACAAATGTACTCTCTAACCCAGAAGCATATCCTGTCTTTACTCAGAGACAAATAAAAACACCATGGACAATTACCTCTCAACAGTAAGAGAATGCTTTCCGTTTTGGACATAATGAATTTGAAATGCCCATGATATCTAAATAAAGATATTCAGTAGATAATAATCTGTTTTTAAGGATATTTGGTATAGTATTTATAGAAATGAGATAATAAAACAATAAAATATATAAACTTTGGATATGTTAATAACATGATAGTTGCTTGTAAGATAGTTACAACAGGTAGTTACTGTGTTGCCTAATTAAACATCATGATAGCATCTTAATATGTGTAAGATTTATAATTTTATTCATCACAAACTGAATTCACCTAGGCTTAGTCCTCTGCTGCTTATGAGGTTTGATGATCTGCTAACAATCTCAGAAAATGAGAGAGTTGTGTAGTGGCAGTATGTTTATAACACACTATGGAACTGGCCTTATAACTGTAACTTTTGCCTGCTTTTAGTCTAGACCAGCCCTCTTCAGTAGAAATAAGATAAATGCAAGCCTCAAATATGAGTCATATACCTAATTTAAAAATTTCTCGTAGCCACATTAAAAAACCTTAAAAGAAGCAATGAAATTAATTTTTATAATATACTTTTAAGCCCAGTTTAACAAAATACTGTTTCAACATGTAATCAACATGAAATTATTAGTCAGATATTTTACATTTTTTTCATGCTAAATCTTTGAAATCCAGTGTGTATCTTACATTTACAGCTTATCTCAATTTGGACTTGATAGATTGCAAGTGCTCAATAGCTATGTGTAGCTATCGACCACTATATTTGACAGTGCAGTTCTAGACCTCAAGAACAAGAAGTTATATTTTATCATGTATGATGAATATAGTTTTTCTTTGTATGTTAGAGGACTAAATACTGTGGTATGCTTTTTATCTTAAACAGTTGAATACCGAGAATAGCTAACATTATAATGAAGAAACAAATGGCCAGTGAATTTACATGGTATTTAATTTTTTTTTTTGAGATCATGAGTTTCACTTAAAATCAGCTAGATATTACTGTGTCTAAAACAGGCATCTTGGAAGGTAAATTAGGCCTGTAGGTTGTATCATTAGGTCCTTGAGTATAAACCACTCCAGAATTTCACTAAGTAGACCAGGTAACCAGGGGATTTAAAGTACAGTTAATGTTCATCCTTTACCCTTGGGAATACATTACATGTTGGTAGAATTCCATTATTTTATACAGTGAGGTGCCTCATCATTTTGTGGCTTGCGAACATTTCCTTATTTACTATGTTGACAAATGTATTGGCTTCACAATACAGAAGCATGAAACATCTCAAAAACCTAAAAGATTTCTGTTAAGTAATTTAATGAAAAACAGACACTGAGGGGAAAAGTCAGCCATCCTATGTGCCCTCAATACAGCAGTTGGAAATAATATACTTTTGAATGTCTGAAATATGTTAGTGGTTTTAGAAAAAGACTAGGTAAGTCATTTGAGAAACTTAAGAAGACCTACTAAGACACTGGCAATACATGGTAATAACTTACTGAGTTTGCTTTGGGTAAACTCAGTGAGTCATGGAACTTGCTATGCACTTTAGTGAGGATACCTTTAATCCTAATTGATGAAATGCAGTCACTTTGAATTGTATGTTGAGGGAATGTTCTCAGGGAAAAGTGAGTTTCTGTGCTGAATGACTGAGTTAAAGCACTTGACTAGTCATAAAGGCTGTGGGTATCCCTTTGATGTTGATTATTATCTGTGATTGTTGAGGGTTTTCTGTTTGTTTTTTAAAACACTTTGGAAAAGCAAATGGTGAGTGTTACAATTTAAACAGATTTTCTTTTAGAGAATGTTTCAAAGGAAAAGACAAATAGTTCTACTTTATCCTTGTTCGTTGATGCTTTCATTTGATTTCATATTTATTGATACTAACAGCTTTAAACATTAGATTAATTCTATAACAAAGTGATACAGAATTGGATGTGCTATGGGGAATAGTATTGAATAAGGAAGACAGAAGCAGTAGGGTGGGTAGCATCTACTTTGTTTTCATGACCCAGAAGGACTATGTGTATGCCATTAGGCATTTTATGGAGTTTGTCAATACACTATGGTAAAATAATCCAACAAGGGCTAATGCCATGTTTGTGACTTAACCATTGATCGGTTAAACCAATTGTCTTACTTTAGAATGAAACCTTGGGAATGAAGGGGTTATCATCAAAGGAGCTTTACTATAATGAAGTAGTCAGAGAAGGCCTCCCTGAGAAGAGGATGATAGTACTATGACTTGAAGGAAATGGGGGAGTGAGCCTTGATGGGGCATCAGGAGGGGCATTCTAGGTAGAGGGTATGGTGGGTGCCAAGCCCTACTGCAGGAGCATACCCAGTAGTTTGCAGAAACAGTATGGTGACCAAGTAGTCATAGAAACAAAGGGGCTACTATCATTTATTGTCTTCTCTATTTTCTAGGTACTATTTATACAAACTTGACTTGAAATGAGGCAAATAGGGGGAAAAGTGTTATAGTGGAACAATCTATTTTAAACCTTAAAAATCATTGCTTGGAAATAAATCAGAAAACAAATAAAGTGATAGTACAGCTCCAATTATGATGGGACATGTCAGAAAACCATGGGAGTCAGATCCAAGGGCTTCTCACTGGCCAAACTCAGACAATTTGAGTTGCAAAATAATGAGAATAATAGATTTCAATCCATAAAATAAAAATAAAAAAAATGAATTCACACTTAAACAAGTAAGGGAGTAGGATACTAACTGATAAATGTAGGAGGAATGATAATGTTAGAAAATCACCATTTTGCAACCACTATAACCATTAAACAGATTATCAGTGGATGCTAAACCAGTGGATGAGAATCTGATGAAGACCAGCATATTTACAAGGTTCTAAAAAGCATCTATCTGTAAATTACTTTTTAATTACAAAGCATAAAATAGGTTTTAATTACAAAGAACTTTATAGTGGACTAACCAGGTAGATACCACCTTAACAACTTAAGTAATCAGAGTTAACATTGCCAATAATTGGACAAACCAACATCACATACTTCCTGATGTGATTCACTGAGAAGAACACAACATCATTTATATAATATTGCTGTCAAAATTATGTAACCTAAATCTAATTATAAAAAAAATTAGACAAGCCCAAATTGAGGGATTTTTACAAAGGAAATTGCATGTAGTATTTACAAAGGTCAATGTTGTGAAACACAAGGAAAGGATGATTCTGGACCAGAAAAACAAAAATTGCCCATACAGCACATTTTGGGGGCAATTGGAAAAATTAAAATAAGTTCTACATATTACATTAGATAATAGCATTATATCAATATTAAATTTCCTGATTTTGATTATTGCACTTTGACCCTGTAAGTGAGTATCTTTTTTCTTGGGAAAGGCACACAGAACTGCTTACAGGTAATGAAATATGGTATCTGCAATTTACTCTCAAACAATTTAGAGAAAAAAGTTATACATAGAGAGAGAAGAGAAAGGGAAGGGGAAGGGCAAGAAAGAATGATATAGCAATTGTGTCAAAATGTTAACAATGTGGGTCAAACACATACAGGAGTTCTTTATACAATGCCTGAAACTTTTCTATAAGTTTAAAATTATTTGAAAATAAAAAGTTGGAAACAAAATGTGGTAGTGGGCTGGATGAATTGGGCCAGGAACTCCCCTTCTGTTTGGTGCCCCTCTTCGTCCGTTTTCTTTTAAGAAGGACCCTGGGGCACCCCTGAAAATAATTTGAAGATCATTGCACTAAACTGATCATCCCTTCCAGCAATGAAAAAAGGCAAAAGCCAATAGTTTTATAGGTAATAAGAAAGGACACGCTAATATTTCATTAGCTGTAAGAAGAGACTACTTGTCCTTTTAATTTTAAATATTGCTAATGTGCAGATATTATTGGTAAGTATCGATAGACACCAAAAAAAGAGCATATGGGAAAAAAAGAGCATATGGAAGAAAATAAGGCAAAGTCTATACTTGGCCTGAGGGCTCTGGGAATTGTGAGGGAGTCTGCATGTAGGTCATTAGGAAGATTTTTAAGTAGCGGCAATAAATTTTACTTTTGGTAAAAGTAAATACATGAAACTGAAATGAGGCATAGGAAGGAGTGAAATGTGGAAACTCTGATCAGCATGATTTAAGTTTATAATCATAGTAAGGATGGCTCCTCTCACTAAATGACAAGGTCATAGTGACCTTTAAAAGCTAGAGGACAGATGAAAAATGATTCAGAATAGACAAGGAAGCAGTCAAA